TCATATAAATCCGGACAGGAAAAAAAGCAGGCGATCCAGCAGAGCTCGCTAGATTTCATCTCCACTCGAGGCAGAGAGAAATTAAGAGTGATGGACGGCTGCCTATGGCGTTGCCATGTGGCCTCGGTCACGTGGGTTCGTGACGTAAGGGGTAAAAGAATCTTGAGGTCATGGGGCTTCCCCTGACCTAGATTCTATCTCTCCGTCACCGGCAGAATCGCTGATTAATGCCTACAGTTCAAAATAGTCATTTTGACTGACCGGAGTCTATGGTGGGTAATTGAACGTAGTGAATAGCCATGTCTGTTTCATTTAAGTTCTGTTAATGTTCTCATTGTGTTATTGTGTGTGTTAAAATGACAAGAACAATAGAAAAATGGACCATTAGACGACATCTCTCTAAACGCATGTTAACAATGTACGTGTATAAATAAAATCAATAGAATAATGTTGGTTGGCAACTTTTTGTTCTTGGCAGGTATTTTGAGTACCAGACACAAATGACTGGCATGAGCATATACCTGCAGGGAAAAACAAAAATGAAATGAAGAATAATAATTATGTACCTCGTCAATTTTCTTGTGTATTATTTTAGATTTCTTCTTCTTTGCTTTCTCATCAAGAGTTGAGTTAGAGTTAATTTTTTCTAATTCTTTGTTTAGTGTGTGTACTTGATTAATCAGCACCCTGTCCTTCTTCAACCTTTTCCTGTACGAAAAAAATTAATTATTTATAGTTTGAGATAAGATGACCATGCTCAAAGATGAATGGGTAAAAATACCGTTCAAATTTGTCTCAAAGCGCTACAGCCATTGCACAGTGCATGTTTGAATTTTCAGACCCCCTTTCACTCATAACTCTAATCCAACCCTGCCCCTCCTCTATTTTAATTGTACATGTCCCTCCTCAGAGCATGCATAATTATTTGGAGGGGTTGGAGTGCCAAGGTTAGGGTTTAGATTATGGATGGAGGTGTTTTTCTAAAGGAACTTTTTCCAGGAGACATCCAATTTATCAATATTCTTTAGAAAGATAATCCATAAACCAAAATTTAAGCGCTGATGGGGAAAATATAATGTAGACCTTGTATATACATAGTTACATATCTTATTATTGTGCATTTTAATACTCCATCATACAATGTTTTCATAATTATGAAAATTCATCTTTAAAAAATGAATTCATGTTTGTTCCTGGCTGCCAGTCAACAAATTGCAAATTGCAGAGATTGGTGTGAAAAATTACTAACAATTAAATCATGAATCTATTAATTGACTTTGAAATATAAGGTAATATGGCAACTATAATATGTAGCAGGCAATGCCTCTGATGAGTGAACACAACCAAGCAGTTTATTGATTTACTGAAAATAAAACTGACTCAACCATAGAACGTCAAAGCATATAAAAAGAGAGCATTGACTTATTTCGAGCGTCAGTTGAGCAAGATTCATGATGGCGCTGTTCAAAATGACTAGGAACACCATTAAAAGTTAAATTATTTTCAGTCTGTTGTCAGACATTTCTGAACATTTTTCATCATGAATAAACCGTCTCACTTCCGCTAATTTGTGAAGTCGGAAGTGCACCATTGTGAAACTCTTAGGGTATATAGATTTCTTTCATACTCTCAATCAGCTCACTAGTATGATAAACAACTGATTTGTAGCCTCCTTTCATTTATCTGACTTAATCATATCAGCAGCAGTGCACACCAAATGAGAATAATGACGTAGACCAAAGAGTGCTATGAACCACAGCTGTGAAACGTAGTGTACATGTATATATGCTTACACGTACATCTCAACCATATTTAGTTTTTTGCATTTTTCCGTTAAGAATAAACTCAAAACGAAAAGAGTTCTTTTTGTACCTAACCCCTAATCCTAACGGAAAGAGTAACTTAAAGGGGAACCTGCCAAACCCAGGGATTGCACCAAAGAATCATGGGACACTATTGTTTATGTTGTTTACAATGTTAATCTAACTTTTGTTATCCATTGTAATTTTGATCCAGTATTGTAAGCAAATTTGTTGTGAGATTAGGCTTAAATGGAGATGCCCCATTAAGGCCACCTTATCTCAAACCTGGACCAACGTAATTCAACGTGCCCCTCCAAATAACTATACAAATGACCTGAACTGGGTTATATACAATTGAAATGGGGGCGGGGCACTGGTGGGGCAGGGTTAGGATGGGGTGGTGGCAGCGTGGGAACTCTTACCAGGAGGGGCATATACAGCTAAATTGGGGTAGCGCTGGAGGGCAGGTGTAGGGTTAGTGTTAGGGGTGGGGGTACAAAAAGAACTCTTTTCGATTTAGAAATATCAGCTTTTCGGGCTTGGGAGGTGAATATAAACTGCATGGAACGACCCTCATACATGTTGTTGTATATAAAAAAGACCCACCACGCCATTTACACTTTTAAATTACACCCATGATCATGTTCCTATTGACCCTAAAGAGACATGAACCTGCGAAAAAAATGTTCTGCACCAGAAGTAGCCCTGCGTACAGTGCTGTGTGTACGGGGACGCGTTCGGTTGATAGATGTCCCCACCACAGCCCTACGTACCTCCATAGACAAAGTCCGGGAGCGCACCCGTAATTGGTGCGCAAGTTAAAAATAAGTAGTTTCCCAGTCGACTAGTAAAGACGGACAAATTGTAAACGCGTAGGTACCGGAGGAATTATTCACCAAACGCCGCCATTTTTAATTTCATTCACGCGAGAGAATGCGTTAGTTTTTAGGGCAAAGTAGCCGATTTCAATCCACAATTGGACTCCGAACTGGGAGTTCTGGATATATCTGGTAATCGATCATCATTTTTGGTAGCTGGGCATGTTATTTCATTAAAAATGTTATATTTTTCAAAGTCCCGGACTTTGTCTATGGAAGTTCGCAGGGCTGTGGTGGGAACATCTATCAACCGAACGCGTCCCCGTACACACAGCACTGTACGCAGGGCTACACCAGAAGGAGTCACCGGTGCACTTAGCCCTGAGTACAGTGCTGTGTGTTCGCCTCCTTCCGTTGATCATTCGGCCCCCACAGTCCTG